AACAAAGTACCATCGTCGCCAGGCTCCACCATCCCATCGCTCTACGAAGACGGAACCGCATCACGATCCAGCCACAGGCTGCAAGCAAGAGGGTTGCTACGCTATCAACTTTAATCAATGTGACCACATCGAAGTATCGCGTGACCCGTAGCGAACTCTCGTTCGCGTCATCCACTATGGAGATGCCTGCACTACTTTTCAAGCCATTCATATTCAGGCATTCTTCGTGTTCTTTGAGCGCGATGCAGGCGCGATGAAGGCCGATTCGTATGGTGCTGGTGGGCTGTATCCCCTGGATCTAGAAATGCGGTTGATTCAGCTGGCAGCGTAGCAAAAGCTCGGTCTTCAGAAGCAAGTGTGTAAAACATTGAAGGAAATCATCGTGAAGACGAATGAGAGAGAATCACGAGACCTGGTCATTTAACCTACCTCTGCAAAAGCAATGCTGCCCCAGTTGTAGGGCATGGCTAAAAGTGCCCCGTTCAGCAACAAGTGTATGAGGCTGATCTTGGTCATGATGACCGTAGATTGATGACCGTGCCTTGATGGTAATGAAGATTGTATAGAATGGAAGAAATCGGGATGGATTCGAGCCGCTCTGCTTCCTTGTTGAAAGTGCCGGATGAACTCGAAGCTTGAAGTAGATAGAGGACTCGAAAACAGATAACGGCTGGCCATCTTTCATTGATTATGGCTTACTTAACTATAACACGTCCCGGTGGCGTTGCGAGTATGTTCTCATACTACTGTCTAGGCGTTGGAGCAGACTACTAATAATTTAGTTGGCGGGTCCCGTCCAAGTTTCACCAAGATATACGCAGAAAACCATCAGCGCTATCATCGACTAGGGACTAGATTGAGACAATTTGAATAGCTTCAGCTCACCTCTTTCGGTATGACCATTCACCCGGCAGAAGCTAACGTAAGTAAGTCTAAGTGATTGCTTTCGTTTCAGTGGTAATCAGCTGTCATTACAAGTGTTGTTTTCTTGCCATAACTTCTCAAATTTAGTTCTTAGCAACACGGGACGTTAGCTTCGCCCTCAATGCACAGGCTGTTGCCTCATTCATTCGCATGCTGTTTTGATTAAGTAACCATAACCGTTAACATCCACAAGCCCGCTGTTTGCAGATTCGATTGTCACTTACAATAAGACAAGTTAGATAAGTGATGGACCAC